GGGTCATGGCCGATCCCCACAGACTCTGTGGATCTTCCAAAATCTGAAGCAGGAAATTTTCATTCCATCAAGTTATGTTGATTATAGAATTGGAAAAAAGGCAAATATAATTCCTTTTCCGAGCTCTTTTTCAAACTGAGATTCGTTTTTTGATATTGTAAAATATTTCTATTCAAGAAAATTCAGCAACAAGAATTTCATGAAATAACAATTAAGTAGCCTTAGTCAATCTCAAATGACTACTTAAGACAGTTTTATGGTTTCAGTGCTCAAACAATTTTCAAGAAGCAAACATCAGAAAAGATACAAGTAAATTTGACTCTGAAATCATTTGTAGTATTGACCTGATATATTGTGTGGGCATGTAGTGTTGTAAGTGGTAAAATTTAAGAAATTTAATCTAAATGTGTTTACATTTTCCCCTAAAATAAGACACTTTAATAAGAAAAAGAAAAGCAACAGCAGCTAGATAATTTGAGATTAAAAACCACACATAAAGAAACAAGTATAAAAAGCATAATTCTATATGATAGTTAGATTAGCACAGTGAAGACTAAATGCAAGACACAAAAAACAAAATGTGTAATAAATAGGGCCATAGTTGTGAACTGTCATTTTTCCCTCCTAAGAAGCCAAAATTGCACTCTAAGGTTTTTTGGGAAGCAGCAGTGTTACAAGAAAAGTGAGCAGAAAACAGCTGTAGAGGCCAGGTATAATTTATACATTTAAAATAGTTGTAATTCTACAATTCCCAGGGGTAAATTTTATAGTTACTGAATGACTTTGCTTGATAGTATATCTTCATACTTCAATTATTCTCAACACCTGAAAATGGGAGAAAACAAAAATAATTCATTTACATAAAACTTGTGTTTGAGATAATCAAGAAAGAAACAAAGTAGGTAAAATATATGAAGTTTAAAAACATTTTGGCTAATAGCTATGAACACATTCATTCCACAAAATTTTAAAAGAAAACAATAAATGATTTGACTTCTTCTCCTTTAATTTACTTCCTAAGTAGAATTACTTATGAGCCGCACAATGTTTATAAAGAGGTCAGCCCCACCCTTCATTTGTTTTCATTCTTCCTAAGAGAGCTATGAGTAAGCTGATACATGAATTACATATTTTTTTTAAAAGACGGGAAGGTGCAGACAGTGTTAAGTGACCTTCTTAAAGTAAGGACCTTTAACAAGAAATGTTATATACATGGAAGCTATTAAAAAAAGGGGGGGTGGGGTGGGGTAGAAGGACAGGGATATGGTATGTAAAATAAACAATTTCATCAGTTGTTACCTGAAGGCATCCTTTATTAAACTACCTACTTATGTGTTTAGAAGAAAACTCAACTTTCAAAGTATTACATAAGATAGAAGACCAGCCATATAAAACTGGGTAGTAAAGGTATCAGTAATATTAATACACTGACATCATCCCCTAAAATAAACCAGTGTTTTAAAATGTTTTTCTTGATAATTGAAAAAATAAAAAATTTATTAAGTTTTTAAATTTTCAGTCATTTACCACTTAAGTAAATCATATGTTCCCCGTTCATAGTTTAAGAGTTAAAAAAACAAAAGTACTACTATCGCCAAGACCGGTTTGGCTCAGTGGATAGAGTATTGGCCTCTGGACTGAAAGGTCCTGGGTTTGATTCCAGTCAAGGGCATGTACCTTGGTTGCAGGCACATCCCTGGTAGGGGGTGTGCAAGAGGCAGCTAATCGATGATTCTCTCTCATCGATGTTTCTAACTCTCTATCCCTCTCTCTAAAATATCAATAAAATATATTAAAAAAAAAAAAAAAAAAAAGTACTACTATCTTTTGGACCAGCAATGAGACAAGCCTGTAAATTTTATACTTTTATAATTACTTCACGTTAGCTATCTCACTCGTATGTTAAACTGCCTTATTAGAACATTACTTTCAAGCTAAAACCTAGCTATCTTGAATAAAGGCCATGGTATATGTTCTCTGCTAATGAGATATGAGATCAAAGTTTACATATGTATTTTAAACTGAGCACAATATCAGAAAAGGATAAACTTTCATCTATATTTGTGCTTTAAAAAGCTCCTTGCCCACCTCCCACTTCTAGAAAAGTACCTGTAAGTAATTAATTACACTTTAACTTATATAATTCTTAAGGATGAATTTCATTTTACTAATAAAGGGGCTCAAAAATAAATATATCAGGACATTGAATAACATTTTTTTTCAACACTGTTTCATTATAATGTTGCTGAGAAGCTATATGAACTTAACTCTTGTTGTGTTTTTTAAAATAAGTTTTTGTTGATTTTTAGGGAGGCAGGAAGAAAGGTAGAAACATTGATGAGAGAGAAACATCTATCAGGTACCTTCTGCACAGCAAGAATTTTTAAAACATGAAATCACTTTTTAGTTAGGGGCACTGATCTCTTTTCCTTTATATTGTCAAATTTATAAACAGCAATAGCCGTCTGGTGTGAATGAATCAAAATCATACCTATTTTTTTTTTTTTTATCAGGTTGGCAAAAAATAGATTCTTTGGTGTGCCAAAGAATTTTAGTAATTAGCTTTATGTGTGCCATGGGATGAAAAAGGTTAAAAATCACTGATTTGTCTAGAGAATTTTAAAAAAATTGAGGTATCTGAATATAGGTTGGTATTAGGTAATATTAAAAATATTTTTAGTTGCTAGTTGATTAACAATATTTTGGTGATAATATTGTGGCTATGAAGAAAAATGTTATGTTTTAAAGATACATTAAACAGTTTTGCTGCCGGCAAAACAAAAAGTTTAAAATAGAGATTTTAATATTCATCAGAAACAAGTTAAGCCGCCGAGACCGGTTTGGCTCAGTGGATAGAGTGTTGGCCTGCGGACTGAAAGGTCCCGGGTTCGATTCCAGTCAAGGGCATGTACCTTGGTTGCGGGCACATCCCCGGTAGGGGGTGTGCAAGAGGCAGCTGGTCGATGTTTCTCTCTCATTGACATGTCTAACTCCCTATCCCTCTCAATTCCTCTCTGTGTAAAGTCAATAAAATAAATAAATAAATGTATGTATGTATGTATGTATAAAAGAAATAAGTTAAGCCTAATAATTATCTAGTACTTTAGTTTCCAAAACACCTACACATCCAGGACTTCCTAAATAATTAAAATCTGAGTTCCTGCCATATGATGAAATATCAAGCAGCTATTAACTAGTCAAATTGTAGGGGAAAAAAATGTTCAGAATATATTACAAAGATAAAGAAGCAGGTTACAAAGTAGCATATATAGACTAGGAATAGTATGTTAGTAAGTATTTATCAACAACTTAAACCTTTCAATTTAAAGCTTATGAAATAAAGCTCTATGTGGTATCTCTAGAGATATTTATTTTTCTACTTTATAATACTCTTTAATCCCCTAGAAGTAACAAGTATTACATAATTAAAAACAAATAAGTGTAAGAACTTATACATCTGTTTGAAAAATCTCTTTCAGCCGAAGCCGGTTTGGCTCAGAGGAAGAGCGTTGGCCTGGGGACTGAAGAGTCCCGGGTTCAATTCTGGTCAAGGGCATGTACCTTGGTTGCGGGCACATCCCCAGTGGAGGTGTGCAGGAGGCAGCTGGTCAATGTTTCTCTCTCATCGACATTTCTAACTCTCTATCCCTCTAAATTCCTCTCTGTGTAAAATCAATAAAATATACATATATATTTTTTAAAATATATTTTTATTAATTTTGTACAGAGAGGAAGGGAGAGAGTTAGAAACATCAATGAGAGAGAGTCAACGATCAGCTGCTTCTTGCACACCCCCTACTGGGGATATGCCCGCAACCAAGGTACATGCCCTTGACCGGAATCGAACCCGGGACCTTTCAGTCCCCAAGCCGACGCTCTATCCATTGAGCCAAACCGGTTTTGGCCAATAAAATATATATTTATTTTTTTTAAAAAAAGAAAAGAAAAATCTCTTTCAATAGGTAAATGGAAAATGACACAGAAATAATTCATAAGAAAGAAAATACATGTGGACAGTAAGTATAGGGAAAAAATCCAACTGCATTAATCAACCAATGAAATGCTTGTTGGTTTATCACCTCAGAAGATTAAAAATTATTAATACTCAATCCTGCAAAGAAGCAACAAAATGGATAGTATCCTTGGCTAATATGCAACTTGTTGTAATCTTTCAAGAGCCTTAAAAATGTTTAATTTTTTTTACAATTCCACTTTTAGGAATCTTCTGAAAATAAAAGATGAGAGGATATACAAAAGATAATCATACTTCAAATTTCATATATAAAAAATTTTAAGAATGGAAAAAATTAACACTTAAATTACATGTCAAATAAAAGAAAACAGTTAATAGTAGTATCTATTTTAAGTGATCCAAATTTGGCCCAGCTGGCATGGCTCATTGACTGAGTTTCGATCTATGAACCAGGAAGCTGCACATGCCCGGATTGTGGGCTTGGTCTCAGGGCGGGGTGTGTGTGTGTGTGGGGGGGGGAAGGTAAGAGTGCGAGCAGGAGACATCCTATTGTTGTTTTATGCTCACATCCATGTTTCCCTCTTTCCTCTATTTCTCTCAAAATTAATAAAATATATAAAAATAATGAGAAGCTGCTGAAACCGGTTTGGCTCAGCGGTAGAGCGTAGGTCTGTGGACTGAAAGGTTCCGGGTTCGATTCTGGTCAAGGGCATGTATAATACATTGTTGCGGGCACATTCCCGGTAGGGGGTGTGCAAGAGGCAGCTGGTCGATGTTTCTCTCTCTCTCTCTCTCCCTCTGTGCAAGAGGCAGCTGGTCAATGTCTCTCTCTCTCTCTCTCTTTCTTTCTCTCTCTCTCTCTCTCTCCCTCCCTCCCTCCCTGTAAAAAATCAATAAAATATATATTAAAAAAAAATAGTGGGAACCTAAAAAAAATGTTTAACAATCAATGGTTGAACATTTCCACTATTATAGTTATAATTCAAAAGCCAGTATAAATTACAAACCTGTAGGTAATGTATAATGCTTATGCTTGTTTGCCTCCTCCACCTCGTACTACCACCACGGGCTGGCTGTTCTGAGTAAATGCACCTCCTCCACGAATTGCACTTGGATGAGTTGGAGACGCTGCTGGATGTTGCCCAGGACGAATAGGTTTAGCTAATATAAAAACCAAAAACTGGCTTTAGAATAAGTCTTAAAACATGCCTGTAACTATTTTTTAGGTCTCTTCTCTTTACTTACCACAAATTCTTGTATTTTGTTTTTCTGTCTTTTTTTCTCTCATTAAATTCCTCTCTCTCACTTTTCAGTTACATCTTTTTCTCCAAGACCTACACAATCCTTAGCCTCTTAAACATTTTATTCCTATATCAATGGTTATTCTAAAGCATGAAATAGTGCTGACGACTTTTCTTTTAATTTTAGAGTATGTTTATTAAAGTTAGGGACAGTGAAACAAGGGCTTAAGATAATGGGAGAAGAACTAGGTGGAGATATGAGCCCAGGCTGGCTGCTTTGGCTCTCTAGGAAGCCAGAGGAAAGGGGGTCTTTGGGGTCAGGTTCAGGGAGTTTGCCTGGGACAAATTGCCTATTGCTGTCCTGGTTGTAAGCCTCATGGGGTCCCTTAGAGTTTAGGAGATGCCTGTCTTCGGGGAAGGAGAGGGGAAGGGGAAGGTCACCCTAGAGATGAGATTCTACTCTACAGTTTTCAGGAACCTACATTTTAAGGAGTTTCAAAGGCTAGGCATTTATGGGAGTACAACTTACTTTTTTTTAAAAATTTTTATTTTTTTTTAAAATAAATTTTTATTGTTCATATTATTACAAATGTTCCTTCCCCTCCTCCCCCATTGCTCTCCTCCACCAGGTTCCCACCCCACCCTCTGCCCCCTCCCCACCCCCCCATTGTCCTCATCCATAGGTGCACAGTTTATGTTCAGTCTCTTTCCACATCCCCCTTTCCCCTTTTCCCCAAGAATCGTCAGTTCACTCCCCTTCCATACCTCTGATTCTATTATATTCAACAGTTAATATTCATCAGATTTTTTTTTAATTTCCTTGGTTTTTAGATTCACTTGTTGATAGTTACATATTTGTTGTTCATAATTTTTATCTTTATTTACTTTCTCTTCCGAAAGAACCCCCTTCAGCAATTGATATAATTCTGGTTTGGTGTTGATGAACTCCTTTAGCTTTTTTTTATTAGTGAAGCTCTTTATCTGACCTTCGAATCTGAGTGATAGCTTTGCTGGATAGACTGTCTTTGGCTGTAGGTTCTTACTATTCATCACCTTGAATATTTCTCGCCATTCCCGTCTGGCCTGCATGGTTTCTGTTGAGAAATCAGCTGACAATAGTATAGGTGCTCCTTTATAGGTAACTACCTGCTTTTCTCTTGTTGCTTTTAATATTCTCTCTTTGTCTTTTGCTCTTGGGATCTAATTTGTCAGATATAAGTATTGCTACCCCAGCTTTTTTTTCATTTCCATTTGCCTGGAAAACTTTTTTCCATCCCTTCACCCTCAGTCTGTGTGCATCTTTTTTTCTGAGGTGGGTTTCTTGTAGACAACAGATGTATGGGTCTTGTTTTCTTATCCAATCTGTTACCCTATGTCTTTTTATTGGAGCATTTAAACCATTTACATTTAAAGTTATTAATGTCTTTTGCTCTTGGGATTTTAATTATGTGTCTTGGTGTGGTCCTCTTTGGATTCCTATTGTTTGGAGTTCTGTGCGCTTCCTGGACTTGTAAGTCTAATTCTTTCACCAGGTGGGGGAAGTTTTCCATCACTATTTCTTTCAGTATGTTTTCGATATCTTGCTCTCTCTCATCTTCTGGGACCCCCATGATTCTGATGTTGGTTTGCTTGAAGTTGTCCCAGAGGTTTCTTATATTATCTTCAATTTTCTTGATTCTCTTGCCTTCTAGCTTCTGTGGAGGAGTGTCTTCTGGCTCTTTATGTTCCAAATCTTTGACTTGATTCTTCCTTCAGTACTTCAGGGTCCTTCAGTACTCCTTGCAAGCGCTTCTGAGAGAAAGGTGCCCTTGATTTTCGCCTGCTACCAAACAGTGTAGGCTCTCCCCCAATGAGCTCGGTATTGGGGTTCAGTTCAGTTGGAAGTGGAGTGGGAGGTGGCATTCAGAGCAGTCTGGAGCCCCCGTCTCCTTCCTGCCAGGGCAATTCCACGGCACAGCCAACTGTCCCTTCTCTGCACGCAATATGTGCGCCTCCGGGACCTCCTTTCGCCGCTCCCCTGGGGTTCCGCCTTGCAGCCCAGCTCCCTCTGGAAGAGCCTGGGTCCCCGGGGTCTGGCCTAGAAATGGGGTTCAGAGCAGTCGGAACTGGGGCCCCGCACAGTTGGAGCTTTTATCTCCTTCCTACTAGGGATCGCCAGCCAGGCACTCAGCCGCCCCGTCCTTCCTCTCCGGCTCTGTCCTCTCCACGCACGCTGCGCGCCTCCGTACCTTAGGCTTTTATAGCTCCTTCGCTCTTCCTTCTGGCCTTCTCCTTGCTTCTCGTTGTAGAATTTATAGTCAGTCGACTTTCCTGTAGTTCTGGGTAATGTCCATTTTATATTTTAGTTGTATTTTATTGAAATTGTTGTGTGCGGCTGCGGCTAGGTGTCTACCTGTTCAGCCATCTTGGATTCTCCCACAACTTACTTTTTTTTTTTTGCTTTAATAACATTGCTCTATAGTTTATTTCCTACCCCTGGCCATTCTTGCTTGCATGTCTATTCTTATTTATATTCTTGTTCTCTTAATGCCATGGTCGGCAAACTGCGTCTCGTGGGTGTGGCTCTTCCACAAAATAGCACTGCCAGGGCGAGTCTATTTTGAAGAAGTGGAGTTAGAAAAAGTTTAAGTTTAAAAAAATTTGGCTCTGCTGACTAATGAGTTTGCTGACCACTGTCTTAATGTGATTATTACTCAACTCAGTGTTGCTTTCCTAACAATGCCACCCTTTGGAAAGTTAGAAAATAAAAAGACAAATACCACCACTACAACACGTAAGGTTTTCATGTGTTCTACTAACCAATTTGTGCAGAATGCCCTCTTCTGGCCATATTCTTTGACCTGACTGCTTCCTTTATACGATCTACTTCTTGCTGATAGCGTTTGCGATCACGAGATGCATTTTCTTTGGCTTCTTTCAGTGCTGACTCCAGAGCTTTCACTCTCTCAGCTGTGGCTCTCAGTCGCTTTTCCAACTTAGGAAGTTCACAGCGCAGATCAGCATTATCACGTACCAACTAAAGATACATAAATAAGGTTAGGATTCTAGCTATAAGCAACTAAAGATACATAAATAAGGTTAGGATTCTAGCTATAAGCAACTAAAGATACATAAATAAGGTTAGGATTCTAGCTATAAGATGATGTTTAAGAAAATATGCAGTTCAGGAGAAACAAGATGGCGGTATAGGTAAATGCTAGTACTTGCCACCTCTCAAAACCACATTAAAATTATAACTAAAATACAGAACAAGCATCATTCAGAACTACCTGATAGCTGACTGGAAGTCCTACAACTACAGAAGTAAAAAAGAAAGCATATTGAGACTGCTCGTGAGGCAGGCTCAGAATGGACTGGTCTGATACCCCGTGTGCCCCCCCCCCCCCCCTCAACTTTTTAACCCAGGGGGAAATTGTCCCTGTGGGACTGCCATGAGGAGCAATGGGTCCCAGCCCCATACCAGACCCCAGTCCAAGGTCCCAGAGATGGGAAAAGAAGTCCCCATAACTTCAGGTTGTAAAAACCAATGGGGATTGTGCCAGAGGGACATGCAGGCTGCCAGAGACCATGTGTCCCTCTTAAAGGGCCCAAGAGGAGCATACTTGGACTTGCTTTCTCTGAGCTACAGCACCAGAGGTCATTGAGGGACCTAGTCAAATATGGGGTGGAACTGGATGGTCTGGCATTAGGACAGGAACTTGGGGCCAGCTTTCTATCAGATAGAGGTAACTGTTCCTATGCTGATATCTATCCTGTCTCAGGGCTGTCTGGCAAACATATCTGAGTTCCTTTCAACCTAGAGCACACTGCTTGCTCCACATTATGATTCTGAGACCCCAACCTGTACAATTTACAGACCAGCCAAGCTGTTTGCAGCAGCTTTTTCATATGATGGCCTGTCCTGGCTCAGGCTTCAGACTTTGCTAAAATCTCTCAAACAAGCTGCAGCTGGTGTCAGTGTGCCCCAAACCTATCAATAAAAGGCCCAAGATCTTGCACCAGCACCAGTCTACATTGCTTCACAGCTAGGCCTCGCCTGGACACTTCCAAGCCCAATACAAATAACAAGCCATCTGCAGATCTCTCTGTAGTTTCTGCTAGGTGGCATTGGGCAGTGGATGATTTTGCACCTCCGTGGAGGCCTTAGAGCCAGTGCACCCAGTGGACAGCTTCATACTATACTTTATACATCCACAAGTGACACACTCAAGGGGCAGACTCAGTGAACACCATAGCCCTACTGATGCAAGTCCTGCTCCATAGGGGTGTTTCCTGTATAGCAGCTCTCCCACTGCAGTCACAGCTAGTCCTCACAGCCAATTGGTCTGGAGGCCAATTCCTCCCAGTGACACCAACAGCACTCAACTACAAGACTGTGTATACAGTCCACACACAGGAGTGCTCCTGGAGTGACCAGCTGGGTACTACGGGACACCTACTACACAAGGCCACTCTACCAACTCCAGGAGACATAGCTGCTCTACCCAATATATAGAGACAAACACAGGGAAGTAGCAAAATAAGGAGACTAAGAATCATGTCACAAATGAAAGCAAATTATTAGACACAGAGTTCAAAATCAGTTATAAAGTGATCTTCATGAGTCCTTCCAGGGATTTAGTGAGATTTTCAAGGATATTAATAAGAATGTAAAAAACATGGAAAAGGACCAGTCAGAAATTAAGCATACACTAAATGAAATAAAGAATAATTTCAAGGATTCAACAGTAGGGCAGAGAATTCCAAGAATCAAATCAATGATTTGGAATATGAGGAAGCAAAAAACACCTAATCAGAAGAACAAAAAAGAAAAAAATCCAAAAATATAAAGATAGTGTAAGGAGCCTCTGGGACAACTTCAAGCATATCTAATTATAGGGGTGTTACGAGGAGAAGAGAGTGATCAAGATAATAAAAACCTATTTGAAGAAATAATGACAGAAAACTTCCCCCACCTGGTGAAAAAAATAGACTTACAAGTCCAGGAAGCAAAGAGAGTCCCAAACAAGGGGAACCCAGAGGATCACACCAAGACACATCACAATTAAAATGCCAAGGGCTAAAGACAAAGAGAGAATCTTAAAAGCAGCAGGAGAAAAGCAGTTAGTTACCTATAAGGGAGTGCCCATACGACAGTCAGCTGATTTCTCAATAGAAATGATGCAGGCCAGAAGGAAGTGGCAAGAAATATTCTAAGTGATGAAAAGCAAGAACCAAGATTACTCTATCCAGGAAAGCTATCATTTAGAACTAAAGATCAGATAAGGAGCTTCACTGACAAGAAAAAGCAAAGGAGTTTATCACCACCACTAAACCAGTATTATATGAAATGTTGAAGGGTTTCTTTAAGAAGAAGAAAAAGAAAAAGATTAGAAACATGAACAATAAAATGGCAATAAATACATACCTATTAACAACTGAATCTAAAAATAAAAATAAACTAATAAGAAACCTAACGAACAGAATAAAATGATGAATAAAATAGAATCAGAGGCATGGAAATGAAAATAGAATGACGATTCTCAGAGGGAAAATGGGTGAAGGGGATGGGAAGAAATTAAACAAAGATCTCATATGCAAAGACTTCTTTCAAAGGTATTTTAATTACCTTGATTAAGAGAACTGACAGATTTGAAATCCCAAAAAGGTTTTCATTGGACTTTAATAAAGGGTTGTTAAAAATATTAACTTCCATACAAATAATTAGCGATAATGGAATGGTTCCGAGAATGAACAATTAAAAAATTGCCACTTCTCAATTTTTAAATTCTTGCAACAATCACTGTATATACACATACATACATACATATATATATGTATATAACTTTATTTATAACTTTATTTATAACTTTATTTATTTATTACCTGTTTATGGACTTTAGTGAGCTGTTCAAGATTATTTTCAAGAAAAGAGATTTTTTGCTTCTGAGCAGCACTGCCTCCAGTGTCATCAGAATCGATCTCTGCACTCTAAGGAAAGAAGGCTGATTAATACTAAGAACAAACAAGCAAACAAACAAACAAACAAACAAAAAAACATCCTCATCTTAACTAAACAAAGAATGTTATGACAACATAAAACGTTTCACTTATGCATGCAAAGGATTACACTATAAACACCATTTATTCAAATATAGTCTTATTACCTTTTTAACTCTGGTGGCTAGATCCTGAACAAAGAGCTTCCGCAGGTTGTGTAAAGTCTGAAGTTCTTTTGCCTTGAATTAAGAACAGCAGTATTTTTGGAGTTCAGACTTCAAATTTAATATAACCAAGGGGGGGAAAAACCCTATTAAACATTCCCCAGTCCTATTTATTTTCAAGTTTTTCTTACCACTGTCTCTTCCAAACCCTTTAAGTCTTGTCTTGCCTGTTCTCGTCTATCTTGCATAATCCTAGACAGAGGAAGAATATACATATTTTCTCCTTTGAACCCATAAAATTCTAGTTTTATTTAGCACAAGACAATGCAAATATTTATCTGAAAGAAATTCTTAAATTCAAATAAATGAAAGACTCATTTTTAAAAGTTTACTGATGTGTCTTTCAAAGAAATTTTTATAATGCTTTATAAATCCTTCTAAATCCATTATTAGAAGAAAACTCTCTTATATAGCAATGGGAGAGATAAAATAAGATATGGCAGAATCCAAAGAATAAGGAGTGGCTCATTTTATATTATAGAATATGTCACATATAGCACACTGGTTTTATTCAAGATATTTTGATTAACTGGTAATTATGGAGATTATAAATTACTGAAACCCTAGCTTGTCACAAAAGGCCAAGGTTGTGGGTATGATCCCTGGTCAGGGCATATACACAAGAAGCAACCAATGAATGCATAAATAAGTGGAACAGCAAATTGAGTCCACAGGCCAATGCTCTACCCACTGAGCCAAACCGGTTAGGGCTAAATATAATCTTAGTAAATTAGAAAAAGCAATTGGTAAAAACAAACAAACAAAAAACAACAAAAAAAAACCTGCTTAAGAGGCAAGACTAAAATAATAATAATGTCCTTTTATGCAAGACTAGAGGCCTGATGCATAAAATTCGGGCCTTCAGGGCCAATCTGTGGGGCGACTGGCAGGGCGATGGGGAGCGGGGAAGAGGGAGCCTGCTGGCACCTACCTTGGCTGGCCTGATGCTGCCCACTTGCTTGCTGGTCCAGCCCCCTGCTGACACAGCCAGTGGTCCCCTCCCTCTGTGGGGTGATCAGGAAGTCTCCACTAGCACCTGCCTTGGCCAGCCTGGCACCATCTGCTTGCAGGCTCCACCCCTGCCACCTCTATCTGTCATCACCCTCTGTGGGGCGATTGGTGGGGCACCTGCCTTGGCTGGCCTGGGGCCTGGGTGCAGCTCCTGCATTGAGCATCTGCCCCCTGGTGGTCAGTGCACATCACAATGACTAGTCATTCTGTTGGTAGTTCCACCATTCAGTTGATTTGCATGTTAGTCTTTTATTATATAGGATCAATTCTGACAAAAATTCAGTTTTTATGACAGATCTTGAAGTAAAATGGTGGCACAGAAACAGTAAGCAGGTTGATAAACAGGAATCAGAAATCTTGATCATCACTGAACTACAAGACCTTGCTTTTACTTAAGTACAAGAATACACTGCAAGTTTTTAGGTACACACTAAATCAATTCAGAAAAACACAAAATGAAAAAATGTACCCACTGAATATATCCGATTGTAATACCCACAATCCTTTAGTTTTGAATTTAAAACTTGAATTAAAACATTAACTCACGTAAGTTCATGTAGTTTTCTGCTCTTTTCCTGATCTGTAGCTTTCAACTTCTCATGTTCTACTCTCAGGCGTTCCTGTTCTAACATCATTTTCTGGTTTTGGCTGACAAAAGAAAGAAAAAAAAACCCTACAACATCTATCAACACCATCATTTTCTGAATGTTGTCATTAAGACTTCCAAACTCTTAAATTTTATAATCTCACTAGTCAAACAACAATGCCTCCTGTGCATTAATGAAGAAGACAACTTCTATTCTTTTAAAAAATGTAAAGCCCACAATTTCCAATATATGATAGTTTTCTCAGTTAAGAATATTTTTTAAAAGGAATGAAATGATTTGAAGGAGACTGTGGTTTCAATTTGCAATAATGGTTAAATTTTTTTTCTTTTTACTGAATAGTTACATCAAAAGACCCCAAAAATATTTTTCACCAGGAACTTAGAAGTTATAAACAAATTTATGTCAAGTCAAAAATTACAATTTCAATGAAAAGATGCAGGTATCTAATAAGAACATATTATCTACCAGCAGCCAATTATTTCCTTTTACCTAAAGAGTCTATCTTTCGGAGTTAGTTTTTAATAGAGGAAGGAAAAATATACTTACTCTTGAAGATCAGTAATAAGTTTTTCTTTTGCCTCAACTTCATCTCTCAAACTACTAATTTGTTTCTGATGAGTTTCTCTGTGGCTTTGGATCTGCTGTTCAACAGCTTGCTAAAATTATTGCAGGGGAAAGGATATTAAATCAGACTAATGAAGATAAATATTGATGGATTAAAGCCATTAGAATCCAATTACATAAAACTTGCCTTAACTTCATTTGCAGTCTGAACCTTATTTAAGTGCTCTTTTTCCATTTCATGCATTTTCTCTGTTAGGACAGAGAGAGAAAACAAAGAGGAAATAAACCTTAAATTTCTTCAAATAAACCAAGGAGAAAATGGTTTTTACAAGGGATATATGTTCCTTAGCAGTTCTTGACTTTAACTTATCCAAATGCCACACAGTAAATCTTGCTAAGCTCAACGTATTGATTTAGATCCTTTGTATTGATTGATATTATGGTTACTACCTTTATTTTCTTTACCTAATCCCAGAACAAATGGGTTAAGGCATGGTAAGGAAACAAGATGGCTTTGTAAGCTCCAATGTTAAGGGGTGTGTGTGTGTGTGTGTGTGTCCTCGTAACTTAGTGGGAAATTCCCAGAGTGGCTACTTCCATATTCAAACACAACTTAAAAAACGTATCAAAGCCAAATTAAAACATTATTTGTTCTCTATTTCAAGTTATCCAGATTCCTACTATTCATTATTAGTGCAAATATAAATTAACAATTACACTAAAGGATAACTTAATATAGATATAACTCAAATAATTAGAAGTTAATACCTTGTGCTCGAAGCTGGACTAGTTCTTCACTGAGGGAATCAACAGATTCCTCCAGTAGTCTTTTCTTTTGTTCCACATTTTGAAGGTATTCAGTCAATGATTTAATTTTGGCTTCATGCTTTTGGGAAAAATATAATGATATGATGTAGAAATACTCTCATGTATACTTTTTATTGCTAAGAATATTTGAAAATAAGCAAGTTTTAGCAATGTATTAATATATAATACACTTAAAGATACAAACCTAAAATGTTCAGAGGACAGTTTTACAATGAAAAAGAATTTAATCAATAAAATGGTCATATGTATAGCTTAAAACACTTGTAAGCAAAGGCACTAAAGGCTGAATAAAAAAGAAATATTGTTTTCTCCATATGATATTACCATCTTCCCTCTATATTACAATTCCTATTCTTGGTGACTAGCCTCATTCATTCAACTGGCAAAGCAAAAAAAAAAAATTGGCCCTGCAATTTTGTCCACCCCAGAATTCCTTTAGATTCTTCAATAGTCTCATCTTTCTAGTAAATCTATATACTTAACATATATATGTTAGCAAATACAACCCAGTCAAATCATTCATGTTATTATTAATACAGCTAAATTAGGAAAAACTGATAAAATTAACCTATTTTATTACTCAAAATAATCTATGTAAGTTTGTTATTATTAAAATTTTTACAGTAAATAAAACTTATATGTGGTTATTAAAAAATAGAACATTTTTTTTGTTAATACATACTTGAGAGATACGAAGCTGGCATGCTGCTAACTCCTTTTCATTTTCTTCCATTTTTTGGTTACTCTCAGTTTGTGTGCTTTCTAACTGTTTGCAGCGTTTTACCATTGTTTTTACTTCTGACTTCATTTTGCTAATGTAGAGCCTTGCAACAGTGAACTCTTCATCTATCATGCCAGTTCCCTCAGGCTGCTATGAGAAAATAGTGAAATTAAAAAATATCCAGTGTGATTTCCAAATTAGACTCTAAAAATCTTAAAACAAAATTTACTATATTTTAATATTACTCAATATTCATAGGAAATCTGGAGGGTTTTTTTTTCCTTTTATGAAATATACTTGTTTTTAATAAAGGGCAAATAAAATAGAGCTTAATTTTTGTCTTCCTTCCTTTCTAAACTTAATGCTAATATATGTCAACATGGAAAAAGGAAACACACACCTAACAAACATACCAAAAAACCACTGATCAATTCTACCTCTTTCAACATTTGGATTTCCTCTTCACAGGCCCTTTTCAGTAAATTTGTTAATCACATGTAACTTCCAGTTTAAAACTTAATAGATAAGGATGTTTAGGTGTCATAGAAACGACTTTGAAGTTCACCAAAGAGGAACTGCAGTCACTGTACATTCTATACTTTCATTAGGAAATTCCAGTATAATATTTAGTGTCAAAATTAAGTGGAGCTTGAAAAGAAACAAATAAAACCGTGTTTGTTCACAGATGACATAATTATTAAAGAAACTCCAGGCACTAATAAACCATTAGAGTAACATCACAGGATACAAGGTTACCATACAAAAGTCAAATCACTTTCCTATCCTTTCTTCCAGCAATAAAAAACAAAAATTTGAAATGAAAAAAACAACAACATAGTGCCATTTACATTAGTGCCAAAAAGTAAAAAGAAACACTTAGTTTAAATGTAATATAATATGTGTAAGATCTCTATGAGGAAACTATAAAACACTGATGAAGGAAATCAAAGAACTAAATAGAGATATTCCACATTCATGGATAGGAAGATAATATTGGTAAAATATCAGTTCTTCTCAAGTTCATCTATGTATCTATTATAATATAACCTCAATCAAAACCCCAGCAAGTTATTTTATAGATATCAATGAATAGATTCTAAAGATTACCTGGAAAGGTAAAAAACCCTAAATAGCTAGCAATATATTAAAAAAAGAGCAAGGTTGGAAGACTAATGCTACTCAACTACAAGAATTACCATAAAGCTACAGTAATCAAAATGATGTATTAGTAAAAGAATAAATAAATAGATCTCTGGAACAGAATAAAGCCCAGGAATAGATGCACACAAAGACAGCCAGCTGATCTCTGACAAAGGGGCAAAGGCAATTCAACTGAAAAAGAATAATCTTTGTAATAAATCTGCTGGAGCAAGTGGTCATCCCCATGTAAAACAATGAGTTCTGACAGACATACCTTTCAGGAAATTTAATTCCAAATAGATAAGAGACATAAATGTAAATGCAAAACTAAAAAAAACTTCTAGAAGGTAACACAGGAGGAAATCTAGGTGACCTTGAATTTGGAGATGAGTTTTAGAAACATCAGAAACATAATCTGTGAAAGGAAAAATTGGTATGTTGGACTTTGTTAAAATTTCTGCTTTGTAAAAGACACTGTTATAAGAAGAATACAAAGATAAGCCACAGACTGGGAGAAATATATGCAATCCAAATGCAAATTAAGGCAACAATGAGATGCCACTAGACTTCTACCAGAATGGCTCAAAACCAAAAACTAATGTCATCAAGTACCGACCGGTGAAGGTGTGAAGTACCAGGAACTCTTACTCATTGCTGGTAAGAATGCAAACTGGTATGCTCATTTGGGAGTTTCTTACACCACTAACGTAGTCTTACCATACAATCTAATAATCATACTCCTAGGTATTTTTATCCAATTGAATTGAAAACTTAGGTTCACAAAGTTGTTCATGAATGTTTACAGCAGTTTTATTTATAACTGCCAAAATCTGAAAGTAACAGAGATGAGAGAGAACCAAGTTGGTGGCATAAGTAAACACCTGTACTTGCTGCCTCTCACAACCACATCAAAACAACAACTAAAAGACAAAACAATGATCATCAAAAACCTCAGGAAAGCTGGCTGAGTAGAAGTTCTACAACTAGAAGGAAAGAAAAAGACCATTGAGACTGGTAGGAGATGAAGTGCAGAGGTGAGCTGAAAATAGGCTGGTTACTGGTGTGCTGTTGTTTTTTTCAATTGGAAGGAGATACAAGTTCCCAATTGCTCTGAACTCTAGTTACGGGGGTGGGATAACTCTGGGGAACCAGACTCTTACAGGAAGAAACTGGACTGGCTGGTACCAGGCTGAAACGCAAGGACAGCTCTCAGAGGTGCTCGCAGTGATCACCGTTTGTGTGTGGGGATGCAGAGATATGGTGACCTCTACTGTGCAGGGCTGACTGGCAGCCATTGCTGTTTATTCCACCCTGGTGATTCCCTGAGACCACAGAACACACAATTTACAACCGTACCCAAGCTATGAGCAGTGGCTTTTGCATATGAATGGCCTGTCCTTTTTTGTAGCCTAAATCCTAACAAACTGCAGGTGGGTCAGAGACCTCCAAAGCTTCCAAAAGAAGGCCCAAGCCTCAGCAGCAGCAGCTTACTTTTCTTCACAGCTGGGCCTCATCTGGGAACTTCCAAACCCCAAACAAAGAGGAGGAATCTGCAGATCTCTCTGTAGCTCCTGCTGGGTGGCCTCAGGCAATGGCTGACTTTGCACCTCCTTAGAGCTCCAAGAGGTAGTGTACCCAATGGTCAGCGTGAGACCATACCAGATCACAATTCTTCACATCCATAAGCGACATACTCAAGGGGCAGACTCAATGAGCACCAAAGCCCCAATGAAGTAAGTCCTGTCCCATAAGGGTTATCTCCAGCACAGCAGTTCTTCCATTGTAGACACAGCTGGTCCTCAAAGCCAATTGGTCTCGAGATCAATTCCTCCCAGTGAAACCAACAGCAATCGAGGCTTAACTACAACAGGACTGTGCACCCAGCCCACAAAGGGTGAACCAAGAGTGTCCACCTAGGTGATTAGGGAGGCGGAGCCACTGGGACCTATAGGACACCTACTACACAAGGCCACTCTATCAACACATGGAAGCAGCCAAAATGCGGAGACAAAGAAACGTGATACAAATGAAAGAAACGGAGGAAAGAAAACTACAGGATATAGAGTTCAAAGCCAGTTTTAAGGTTACTCAAGAATCTTCTAAACACCTCCGAGGAACTTAGTGAGACCTTCAAGGATCTTAGTGAGAATGCAAAATAAATAAATAAATAAATAAAATAAAATAGGAAAAAGACCAGTCAGAAATTAATCATACACTGACTGAAATAAAGAATAATATACAGAAATTCAGCAGTAGACTAGAGGATCTCAAGAATCAAGTCAAAGATCTGAAATACAAGGAAACAAGAAACACCCAACCTGAGGAGCAAAAAGAAAAAAGAATACAAAAGTATGAAGATAGTGTAAGGAGCCCCTGGAACAACTTCAAGTGTACCAACATCTGCATTATGGGGCTGTTGGAAGAAGAGAGCAAGATACTGAAAACCTATTTGAAAAAATAATGACAGAAAACTTCCCCTACCTGGTGAAAGAAATAAACTTATAAATCCAGGAAGTGCAGAGAACCCCAAACAAAAGGGATCCAAAGAGGACCATACCAAGACACATTGTAATTAAAAGGCCAAGGGCAAAAGACAAAAAGAAAATCTTAAAAGCAGCAAGAGAAAAACAGTTACCTACAAGGGAATACCCATATGACTATCAGCTGATTTCTCAACAGAAATGATGTAGGCCAGAAAGGAGTGGCAAGAAATATTCAAGTGATGAATAGCAAGAACCTACAACCATGATTACTCTACCCAGCAAAGCTATCATTTAGAATTAAAGGTTAGATAAAGAAATTCACCAACAAGAAAAAGCTAAAAGAGTTCATCACTACCAAACCAGTATTATATGAAATGCTGACGGGTATTCTTTAAGAGGAAGAAGAAGAAAAAAGTAAAGATAAAAATTATTAACAACAAATACATATCTATGAACAAGTGAATCTAAAAATCAAGTGAATAAAAAATCTGATGAACAGAATAAACCGATGAATATAATAAAATCAGGAACATAAAAAGGAAGTGGACTGATAATTCTTGGGGGCAAGGGGGTGTGAGGGGTGTGGGAAAAGATTGGACAAAAATCTTACACCTATGGATGAAGATAGTGGCAGGGGTAAGGGCATGGGGATGGGGAATCAGGTGGAGGGGAGCTATAGGGAGACAAAAAAGAGGAACACCTGTAATAATCTGAGCAATAAAGATTTATTATTAAAAAGATAAATTAAAAATAAAAGAATCGTTGCCTCCATCCAAGAATACTCAATCCAGCAAGACTATCAAGCAAAATTGAAGGGGAAATCAGGAGCTTCACAGACAAAAAAGGCTAAGGGAGTTTACTCGATCCAGCAAGACTATCAAGTCATTAATGCAAGAAATGCTAAAGGGAAAGCTGTAAAAAAAAAAAAAAAAAAAAAAAAAAAAAAGTAATAGAAAGGGAGGAAGGAACACAGGCATAAAGTACAAAAAGGCTACAAACAAGTACCTATCAGTAATAACATTAAACATAAATGGATTAAGTGCTCCAATCAAACAACATCAAGAGACTGAATGGATAAGAAAACATGATCCTTATATATGCTGTCTATAGGAGATCCACCTTAGAACAAGGGACTTACACAGATTGAAACTGAAGGGATGAAAAAATATCTACCAGGCAAATGGAAATGAATAGAAAAAAACTGGGGTAGCAATATTATATCTGAAAAAATATACCTCAAAGGGAAGACCATAATAAGACCATAAGAGACAAGAAAGGCCACTTCATAATTCTAAAAGGAACTATACAACAAAGAGGGTATAACTCTGGTAAACATTTACGCAACAAATGCAGGAGCAGCAAATACATAAAAAATAAATAAATAAATAAAAACTTTTGGAAGATATCAGGAGAGAGATTGACAGCAACACAATCATAGTAGGAGACTTTAATACCCCATTAATATCACTGAATAAATCCTCTAGACAAAAAATTAGCAAAGAAACATCAATCCTAAACCACTCACTA